CACAGGTTGGCCACCCCTGCTCTAACAAGATATAGGTAAACACACACAAATACAACCACTATCTTCTTCTAATTTTCTAACAATACAAATCTATATTTCACAGCTCTAGTTTATCTAACATGGAATGGCCCCAATTACCATTTACACACTTTTGAATACAGTGGTCTCTAAAGCAGGGGTGGACAAACTTTTTGGCCTGAGGGCCACATCGGGGTTCTGAAACTGTATGGAGGGCTGGGTAAGGAAGGCTGTGCCTCCCCAAACAGCCTGGCCCCCACCCCCATCTGCCCCCTCCCACTACCTGCCCCCTGCTCCAATTAGCATAACAAAAGTGGTGATGGTATCGTAATATTTAGACACATAAAAATATAGTTAGTTGTAGTTTTAAGGCTTTTTACAAGTATTACACAGGGATAGTTTAAGGTAACGTGAGCTAGAAATCCGAAATGGCGGCCGCAATAATTTAACATAAGAAAATCAAATTGGAGAACTTAGGTAGAGTTGACCAATAGCATGCAGGCAACTGGGGTGAAGTAAAGTTCAGCAGGGTGAGATTAAATTCACTCCCAGAGGTCAGTCAGGTGAGAATGAGGTTCCCGCCTGGGTCCGGCACAAATGACAGGTAAAGCTGATTGGCTGAACAGGTATCACCCCACCAGGTGGGCACTATGGTAATAACTGGTATTGAGAGAGCAATGAATCAGAAAAGGGTCAAAAAATCCTATATAAGGCACAGAGCAGACAGGCTTCAGTGCGGGTGTGTAGTGAGCAGAAGAGATAAGAGAGCAGAGAAGAGAAGATCAAGAGAGCGGAGCAGATAGAAGCAAGAAAGAATCCTTCTAGAGCTGAAATCACCGAGATGAGTCAGAAGGAAAGTACGGAATTGATTAAGTAAGGAATAACTCTCTTGATTATAAGGAAATAATTGTTAACAAAGCTGAATGCCTGCATCCGAATGGATTTTACCCCACCCAGTCTATGACTGATCACCATTCATAGTACAGGCGAATCTCATCTTACGCGCATTTAACATGCGCAAATTCAGCTTTGCGCGGTCGGCAAAAACAAACAAAAAAAATAACAATTTAAATACTGTACCTGTAGTGCGGGCGATTCCGCCCGCCATTACACTCAATGTAATTTTGACTATACGCGATTTTCGCTTTACGCACTGACAGCGGAACGTAACCCCAGCGTAAGATGAGACTCGCCTCTATATTATTACTTATTAATGTCGTGTAATGTGTAATATTTCAATGCTGTTTTATGTGTGTGTGTAAGGGATCTGTATGTTACATTGTAATAGGTTTGGTAAAATATTGCAACATTTTATAAAGGCTTTATACATATGTATAAGGGGTCTATTGTATTGTGCAACATTGTATCTGCTACATGGGTCATGTAGTGTAGCTTGTGTTGCATTGTATTTTCCCTTAATGAGTGTACTTAATTGATTTATTTGTTTAAATAAATGTTATTTGTTTTCAAAGTATTACTGCTTGAGCGTCAATCCTTGGGGAGGGCTGTATCCATATCTTCCCAGGAGTTCACAGAACTAGTCTGTTCTGAGGAGTCCTCTGAGGGTTAGAGACTAACTCCTGGATAAAAGGTAGGCAATTCCTCTAGGCCGGGCTGCCTCCTGTTACCCATTGAGATGCACCAAATTGACAACGGTTTGCAGTTATGGAGAGGCCATTATTAGGGTGCCTTGGGTTCAAATTTTGGGGTAACAAGATCCCTAGGCCTTTAGGCCTCCCACAAAGGCCTCTGCTATTGGGTGGATCAGAATATAGAAGATGGTTGGGGTCAGTCTAGACAAGGAAAAACAGGGGAGGGTCAGAGGAGATTTGCTAGTGAATCCCAACCACTTTTCCCACCCAAGAGACCCTTGGAGGCTGATGCTCCAGAGTAGAGATGGGATCCCAAGACCTTTAGGCCTCCTACAAAAGACCCTGTAGGAATCAGTCCTTCTCAGTGGTGCTTTCTGAATGCAGAGGAGGCAGGGAAAAGAGGCAAGTGATAAGAGGCAGCACCTCTCTTCCTTGTATTGTCCGCTGTGATCCCTTATGATTTCCCCAGGACCCTGTGCTTCCCACATCCACCAATCCCCCAATTTCCTCCCCAAAACCCAGCCCTCCTGGTCCCTTCACATTTGATGCCCCGGAACCCAGCACCTCGGGGGATTTGGGGAGAGGAAGAGTTGCCATCCCCAGGGACAGTCTCCCTGTGGAGACAAGGCTCTAGGTAATTGGGGGAGCCCAGCCCAGAGATTGCTGGAAAATGGGGTGTAGGGGCAGGTATCCAGAGTGAATGTGGGGCCTGGCCCAAGTATCCCTCACCTAGTCTCCGTGGAAGGGGCATCACATCTGGGAAGGAGGGGGGGGGGACTTCATCCAGGCAGAGGGGGCTTCTGGAGGAGTTTCTCTCTCCCTCCTCCCAGCAGGTTAGCAGGAGGCAGGAAGGCCCCTGAGCTCAGCACCAGGGCTGCAGCAGGGAGGAAGGGCTGACTGGGACTTCTCCTCTGCTGGGGTTTGCTGAGACCAGGCCAAGCCAGAGCGTTCCTGACCAGCTCAGGGTCAGCTGCTGCTGAAACCTGCCCCAATGATGAGCAGATGGATACCTGGGAGCCAAGTGCCACTGCTGCGGGTGGGAATTAGGAAATGGAATTTTTACTATGGCCAGCCCTAGTCAGGGCAGTGAGAGAATTTCTCTCCTATGTGGAGAAGTCTCTGATGTAAGCACCAAATGAAGCTTCTGCCACATTCAAGGTCTTTATTCTGTGAGTTATCACATGTGGAATAATGTGTGAGCTCAGACTGACTTTTTTCCTGCAGTTATTGAAGCTTTTCCTATCATCCAAGCACTTATAGGGTTTCTCTCATGTGAATTGTCTGATATGAAGCAAGGTTTGATCTTCGAATGAAACTTACCCCACAGCTGAGGCACTTACATGATTGCTCTCCTGATGCTTTGAGCTCTCACTGAAACTTTTCCCACTCTCTCCTGTGTGCACTCTCCAATGGGTATGAAGATTTGAGCTCCGATTGAAGCTTTTCCCACAGATCAAACATTTATAGGGTTTCTCTCCTGTGTGGATTCTCCCATGGTTACTAAGGTCTGAGCGGCGACTGAAGCTTTTCCCACAGTCCAAGCATTTATATGGTCTCTCTCCTGTGTGGATTCTCCCATGGTTACTAAGGCCTGAGCGGTGACTGAAGCTTTTCCCACAGTCCAAGCATTTATA